TTATGGAATCATGTGAACAATGTGTCATGGAAACTTCTTTATTATTATTATTATCTTCAAGTAATTTTTGACAACATTGTCAACATTACACAATGTTAAGACAACATTTAAAATGATAATGATTTAAACAGAGCTGTAAATGCAATCCTTGAGTTCATTTGTCTGAATTGTTTGGTTGTAAATAGTGGTTGACCGATATGGGTTATATTGGTCTATTGGTAATTGTAAATCTGTGAATAGTTTAACATTGTGTGCTGTGTTCAAAAAACAAGGCTGTTTACACTAAAAATAAAGAGGATTTTCGCAGCAATGCCATAGAAGAACCATTTTTAGTTCCCCAAAGAACCTATCTGTGAACAGTTCTTAAAAGAACATCTTTTTCTTAGCGTGAAGAACATTATAAGATGATAAATTTGAGCAGATGCAAGCATTTTGAGAAAAGGTCTGAACAGTTTTTATAAAGTACCTTTTTATGCCCTATTTAGGTTTTTGCATTATGCAACCAGTACAAGTTTGTATCTGAGTCAACTTTATTCAAAATGTAGTGGTGCTCATCAACTTTACAGTTTGAAGAATATCTTGTAGAGAATCTAGTAGTGTTTATAGTTCATCATGGTCATAAACATTGTACTCCTTTAGTGATAAGGTCCCATCAGCATTGTGATCATTCTTATGGAACACATCTGCCACAACATCATCAAAATAGGATTCATCTTTCTGTGTATTTAACTTCTTTGCTTCCATCCTCAAGTATTCTTTAATCTGTAAATCCAAAAATGATATGTCAATTTTAAAAACAATAATAATGAATACATAAAAATTAGGTATGCAAAAGAAAATTCCTAATACAACAGTTAACATGCATTAACTGATATCTATTACCTCTTCTTTTGTCAGGGCCTTGTCGTTGTCAATGTCAATTTCTTTGAAGGCTTCTATGCTGCGTGGTCCTCTGGATATGTACAAAAGCTCCACCTCAAAGACCACTGTTGCATTTGGCGGTACAGGACCTAATCCACCACAGAAAGGTGATATGTTAATGGTTTAAATCTTAAACCTTAAAAATTGTATTGGTAACACTTTATAATAACTTTCATCAATAAATCATTAACAAACATTATGTAATGCTTAATGGATCATTAGTTAATATATATTCAAAGAGGTAGAAACGTGAGATAATGTGCTTGTTAATGTTTGTTAATAAACGTATTAAACGTTAGATAATGTTCAAACAAATCATTATTTCATGTAAGTTAAAATGCTTACAAATGTCGTTAAACTTTCAGATCCATGTGATCAAGCACTTATTGAAAATCTACAAATAAAAGCTTGTGTTAATGCACGACACTTTAGCTGCTATTGAGGTGTGATACGGGTAAGGTTAGGGCCAGGTTTGGTGGTATGGGTAGGTTTAAGGGTTGGTTAAAAGGTCAGCAGTGTACAGGGGTCAATTTGATTATTATAAGGGAACACGGTTCAGTCTGTTTATATTATATTGTTTTGATAAATGAAATGAAGTATTTTCTTTTAAAAAATGATTTGTTTTCTCCTGTGAGTGTTGAGGCAATAAAAATTTTTTTTGCTCGGGACACTTTTTGCCATTGAGATGACTGCTCATAAAGGTATTAATGTTTAATAAACATTTTATAAACATTTGCAAATGATGAATAGTTTCCGCTTTAGATTATCTTGTCACTTGTCACTTTCTGCGCTTGCTTGGCCATTTGTTGTGGAGAAAATAAGGAAAGT